AGCCTTTTTTACAGCACTTGACACTGGAGCCTTTTTTACAGCACTTGGTGTAGGTGTCTTCTTGCCTGGAGCTGCCTTCTTACTCTGTTGTGTAGGTGGTGGCACTGCATTGTAAGCACCTAAAAGAAACAAAGTTTTTAAGAGGGTCTAAAACCATTGTTGGTTTTGGTAAGTTTGCCCCCTTCCTGAAGCCATCAGATGTGTGACACTAGGTAACATTTAGCCAAGAGCTTCAGGGTCAGGGAAGAACAAAGACAGGAAGGATTCAGATCTGTGAGGGAGCTCTGGCCCCACGTTACTTTGTGAAGATTGAAAAATAACTTACTGACATCACAGGAAACTCACGAGTGGATTGGTTTTTGAGCAACTGCTATTAGTCACAGTGTTTGAGCTGAAGTAATTTTGTGAAACACAAGTTTGGAATGTTATTGTCACTTAGATCAGTTCCAGATGCAGCCCTGTAGTTTACAAATGCAGCAATAATACTAAGGAAATAGCCCACTTTATTCTGGTATTGGAGAATTCCCCCTTACCCGGCTTTGCGTTTGGTTTTACAGCCAATGCCTCGTCATCGGAGCTGTCAGACTCCTCCTCACTGCTTGAGCTCTCCTTTTTAGAGGTCACTACTGCTTTAGCAGGGGTTGTAGCTTTTGTATTCTTGGCTTTTCCTGGAGCTGACACTGGCTTAGCAGGCACAGGCATCTTGGGCATTACTTTCTACATAGAATGGAGGAGAAAAACGATCAACTCTCTCAGGCTAACAAAACTGCACAGCAGCCTACCACCCTCATCTTTATGAAAGTTATGAAGAATCTTATTAAATTATCCGTTAGATCTCAACTTTAAAATATACCACATAGGACAAACTAAAAAGTTTACTAACCGATAAAAGTTGGTGGCAGGGTCAATGGGAACTTTCAAAGGGAAAATGGATGGAGATGCACATAAGATGGAGGATAATCAGAATTCTTTCAAAAGCTAATAGAAATAACGGGTCCAATTGCTTCCCTGAGGCATTCTGTGATTCTATGATCTTTTCAAACAACTAGCCAGGGGCAATAAATACAGTACCAGAAATTCCAAGAATTCCTTGTAACAATTAAGGTTAGTATTCTATACCAGACCTTAGTTATTCAGTACTGAAATTATAATAATCTTTGAGTGTACAAGTTGCCTTTCTCTACAATCTATTCAGATTCAGCTTGCAAACCTACATAATAGGGGCAGGAGGGCAAGGAAGGGAAGGTTAGTTGGGCGTAAAGACAAGTGCATAAACTCACAGCAACTGCAAAAAATACTGAGAATCATATCTTGTTTAAAGCTAAAGTATTCCACACTAACAGAGGGTAAACAGCAACACATTTAATGACACCGATATAAAATACTTACTTGCGCAGGTGGTTTCTCCGCAGAGTCAGAGTCACTAGAGTCGTCACTGGAATCGTCCTCACTGCTTTCCTCAGCGGCCTGATTGACGGGTTTTAAGGCTGAAAACAGAAAGCAATTCTTTGGGAAAGAACAATTCAAAAAGTGCAACAAAAAACACACTTGAAAAAGAAGAAATGTAAGTCACTGCAACGTGCCACTTGGCATCAAAGATCAATTACACTGGTTATTTAGTTGCACTACCACATGGGAATGTTAAGTGATTCAATTCTGCATCCATTTCACTTGATACAAATGCCCAGCTTGATAGCTAACTTTTGGAGAATTGTCTCTACCTGGTTTCACTGGTGCTTTTGCAGCAGGTTTCTCATCCTCTGAGCTGTCTGATTCTTCACTGCTGGAACTTTCATCTTTCTTTCTGGCAGCTGGCTTGGTGACAGCTGGTGTTTTAGTTGCAGGAGCTGCAGCTTTAACAGAAACAGCCTTCTGCTGAGACAGGAGTGGGGAAAAAAGGATGAAAGTTAAAATAATCACCCCTGTTGAACTGAAAGCTAGAAATGCTCACAATAGCCTAATAATTCTGACAGTATCTGCAAAGAAACTCAATCAAAGGGAATGTGCAAAAGACAGTTTATTGCTAGGTTTAGTACAGATGACATGTCAAGGTTATGATGACTCACAGGTAGGATGACTGCCCGCCTTCAAGCAAGAAGCAGGGAATAAATGGCAAAAAAAACACTAACAAAATTTTGCTAAATCTAATTGTTACATGTAATTTTGCAGAGAATCAATAGGCCTTTTGAGCCAATTTGTCTTATATTATACACTTTACATGCCTCCTAATAACTTAGTTTTCTAGTTATTCAGTTGTTTTTAAATCAAAAAGGACCTAAGTTGGCTTAAACAGTCATTAATACTCCCCCTCACTTGTCCTTGTCACGGAAGGAATCTAGTGATCTGTGCTAGACCCCCGAATTCCAATAGCACACCAACACTGAACCCGTAAGAATTAGTTTGGAAAAGGATCAAAGCGTTGATTAGCATTCGCGCACACATTCCTGCATGATGATCATGTGTCCAGATGAAGTTAACAGGAAAGGCACAATTTACATCAACCTTACCGATTACTCTAGACAGAAGGTGGCTTTGATTTAAGTCATGTTTCACCTGTGGCACTGATCCCACAACGAGCAGGAGTGGTACAAACCATCACTTACTAACGAAGTTTACACCATGGCTCATCACAGTCAGTTCAAAAGGTTTGGATCCTGTCCTATAACAACCATATTGCAAGTATTTTATGTTCTTACCTGTGGGGGTTTTTTTTCTTCTTCAGAATCTGAAGAACTTGAATCTTCGCTGCTGCTACTTTCCTTCTTCGAAACAGCCTTTTTAACTATGGGTTTGGTTACAGCTGGCACTGGTGGCTTGCTCGCTACAAGCATGATAAATAACAGTTGTCAAACAGGGTGGCAATTCAAGAGCATTTCAGTGGCTTTAAAGCAATCTGCAACATCTGACTCTGTGCAAATGGAAGTATTTCAATGTTTTGCAACAAAAACAGACTACTTTTCTATTAAAGCCACCACTTTCAATTGGGTAGGGGATGTGGTGAAAGTGAGCAATGAGCAACTCCTCCATTCTCCCAAGTTACATATGAACACTCCCCTCTCATACAGAGTGGCTCCTTCTTCAAATCAGTTCTAAAAGCCGATTGTCCGGCTGGTCCCTTTTATTTCACACAATGTGGACAGGAGCCATTCAGTAGGTCTTAAACAGGCCCAATCCTATTTTCTGGTGTGCAGTCCCACTTCAATATTTGTCCATCTATTTTAAGGCTACAGGAGCAGATAATGGCACTGTTTGCTACCACAGAGATCAGTTAAATCAGTGCTAAATATCAGAAATGACAAAAGAGATTAAATCAACTCATTAAATACCCTCAAACACATTCAATTCTCCCCACTTCAATAACTTAGAAGAAAGTTACATAGAGAAGTTAACGGGGTCAGTTAGTTCAGTGTGGAGCTGGATGAACACAGCAGGCCAGGCACATCAGAGGAGCAGTAAAGCTGCGTTTCGGGTCGGGACCCTTTTTCACAATCGGCAGTATTTACTAGCTCGAGTCAGTTAGCTCAGTTGGTTTGTGATGCTGATTCAAGCAAACAGTATGATTCAAATCTTGCACCAGCTGAGGTTACTGTGAAGGCCTCTCCTTCTCAACCTCTCCACTCACTTGAGGTACGTGTTCCTCTCAGGTTAAACCACCACCAATCGACTCTCTCTAATGAGACAGTAGCCTTATGGGCTATGCCAACTTTACCTTTACTCATGTAAAGCATATGTATGTTTGTATATCTTTTGATTAAAAAGCAGAGAGTTTCGCACAATGAGTTAGGACAAATGAAAGCCAGCTGCTTCAGGGCAGAATGTTGGTCAGCACAGCATGGTGTACCAGCCTAAGTTATACATGCAGACCTTGGTGCAATGTATCAATTTTTGTCCAGTCACAGATCCAAACATGAATTTCTCCAGTGGCTCATATGCAACTGTACTGTACAGTGCAGTACTGAGCTACAGTGTTTAGGAACGTGCTGCAGCAATAGTAGTAGTACTGGAAAGCAAAGACAAACTTGACTGCAGATCGTTATCTACATGTACAAGAAATAGTTTAGCTGTGAACTCTGCTGAAGAGAAACTTATTGCTGAAGCTTTTCCATCTTGGATGAAAAGATTTATCAGGACAAATGCAAGAATGCCAAATTCTTCAGGTGGTCTCAACAATTTATACAACAGCAGAAAAGGGTTTTGAGATGACTTGATTTGACAAGTCAACTCCAATTGGCTGAGACATTGTTGTGGAGAAAACTATGTAGAACTATTGGATCCCCTTACTTCTAGGTATCTGAAACAAGACACGAAGGCTTGAACGTACCCTTTTTGTTTATAGAGGACAGATTTCTGCATACACATATGTTGCTTGTATCAAAGTGTAAAGGAGTCATTTAAAAGAAAACAAAATATTTGGGCATAGCACGACACACTTTCATGGTTATTGTATCCTGAGGTAGGACTCGAACCCAGACTTTCTGGCCCAGAGGTCAGGACACTGCCACTAAATGGCTCAATAGAGTATGAACTAATTAACAATAAAGCTAATTTTGTTCTTCAGCACACAATATAGCTTTTCTTGAAATGCCTGACACATTGGGATGTACCTGGTTTCTTAGCAGCTTCGTCATCATCGGAACTGTCCGAGCTGTCAGAGCTACTGGAGCTTTCCTCTTTCTTTGCCCTTTTTGCAGGCGGCCCATTGAGTACAGGTTTTCTTTTCTTTGCTACATCAGATGACCTGCTGGAATAAGTTTAAAAAGAAATGTTAAGAATCCTGTACAGTGAAGGCCAATCATTTTCACTGCTGACTGTTCAGGATCGATGTTAAAGATGTGAATACTTCCAAATTTCCAACAATTAAAATGAACTATTAGGAAATCAGGAGACTATGAGTAAAGTACGTGAACGTCAGTTCCCAACTCAAAAGATGTTTCTGGTGAATGATCATTTCACGAAAATATCTTCATAATATCTATCTTAACAGGTTGACTATTTATTTCAAGTATAAAATAACTCAAATTCAATTAATTTGTGGTAGGTGTGCTGCTATACAACAGAAAATTGTAAAACTTCTAATAAACATGTAGAGAATTGGCCGAATAGTAGGTGCAACATTAAACACTACTTTCTCAGTCAAGCACAGCAGAGATAGCAAATTAATTGCTGTATTAAGCACTGCTTTTACAGCTATTGGTGTTTAGTAGCATTTTTTGTGCTACTTCCAGAACATTAATCTGAAAGTCTGCACAGACCCATGAATAGGGAGAGATTTCCACCACACTGGGGAGCATTTCACTTACAAGGACTGGATTTTCACTTACAAGAACTATACCATTATATCCACAAAACTAACAGCACAATCTGGCAATCACAGCGCACAGTAGCCACAGAAATCCAGCAGTCAGTGATTCCCTACTCCTCCGTAGGATGCACTGTTGATGGTCTTGAAGATGGAAATTTTCTGATATTACCAGAATCGATATGAACGTCATCACTCTATCTGTACATACCCTTGAATATTTTTCGTAACGCTGAATGACTTGTAACAGGGTTCTAAGTTCATAATTATCACCTGACAACCTTTGCAGCCCTGAAAAAGTTCTGCTTGGGGAACGTCAAACACATACATTATACCATAGACTTTAAACTTTCAAAATAAAGTTTACGATATTTCAGCTTCTACCTTAAGCCTATATGCCCCAGTTTTTATTTGGCTATCCTTAAATAAGGCAATTGTTCACTTGCTGACTGAAATAATGCTTCAATGTGATTGGTTACTGATAATGCTTGATGATATCACAACTGCCAGATGCCAGAGATCCCTCGAATTGATGCCAGCATCCATGTATTATCAGAGAAAGTGAAATTCATCTCACAAATAATCACTAGATTTGTGCAGACAGCTTGGTTTGAATATGGATGCCAGCGTTGTCACTCAGCGGCAGCGAATTACCGTGAAATGCTCTGATTTACGAAGGCATTCTTGCCTGTCCTTTTACAAAAAAAGTGTTATTTTAAAGATTCTTGTCAAGCAAAAAGGCTGTAGCTCTTGAAGACCACAATGGGATCGATAACGTTAACTGCACGAGGCAGATGGAACCCAAGCTCAGCAGCTCATCCCAAGGGCAGTTCCTCAGACAATGCAACATTCCAACACTACAACTTCAGCCAAGCTTAAGACTCAAGTCCCTGAATAAAGTTCAAACCCAAAAATCAAACTAAAAAAAAGAAAATGCTCATACTTACTTCACCCAGAAGTCATAGATCTCCACAAGAGATGGTGACTTTACATCTGGAACTTTCTACAAAAACAAACAGAAATAAACATCTAAATAAACAAACTTCAGCATAACAATTTATGTGGTACCATAATGCATGGGGAGATAGACATCTGTTTTTGGAAGTGCTGTGCCCACATTTGCAAATATTTTGTAAACGCTCCAGGGCATTTTAATAAGGAATTGAGGTTGAAACTAAATAGGTATTACCCAACCGAGAGAAGTTGGAATGCAGGCTTCAGAATCTTGAATTAATTCATACGGTGTGGAACAATTTGCAGATCAATCCACAGATGCCTTGTGTTCAGAAGTGATTTATGACTGGAGGACTTCAGTTATGAGGAAAGAGTGGATAGGGTAGGGTCATTTTCTTTGAAACAGAACAGTCCATGAAGGGGGTTTATAAAATTATGAGGGTTCCAGGTAGAAAGGCTTTGAGTTAACGGGAGGAAGCAGAGCTCTAAACCCTGGGCATAGACTTAGGACAAAAGGTAGGTTTAAGAAAGGATTTGATGGGAAATTGTTTCACTCAGAAGGTAGTGGGGATCTAGAAACAGAAACTGTCATAATATTTACGGAGTACTTGGATATGCACCTGAAGTGCCATAATCTTTAAGGCTACAGACCAAGAGGGAGAATGCTACATGGAGCTGGACAGTTCCTCATCAGCTGGCAAACAGAGCGTGCAAAACAGCCCAATAATTATGTTGCGAGTTAATCTCGGCTCAACTTATTTACTTCCAGCCCTTAGCCATTATTGCTCACGATGGATTCAACTCCTTGACCAAGACTGGAAGGAGCTACTTTACCTGTCTCTGTAACTGCGTTAACAATTATCCCGCTAGTCAGTTAAGAGTTTTAGGGGAGGAGATCAAGAAAAGAAAAGCAAATCTATAAATAATAAATTGATCTGAAACAATCTATTTCTGCTAAGTCCAATCACAGGGGATTCATAAGGTGTAAGTCATAGCAGTAATATGTTCACCAATTTTTTTGTTTTTTTAAAAAAACAGTTTTTACACATTTGCCTGGACTGTCAGCTTTCCCTGCTTAGTGTGGCACCTCTTGTACTTAGAACAAAGGACATGGGTGCAGCCACAGTCTCTTCCTTCGGAGCCTTCCACCCTCAGTGCAGAGACAGGTAGATTATTACGTAGAACTGTGACAACAGACCGAGGCCATTCAGCCCTTCGGCAATAATCAAATCAGTACCATTCCCACTGGTCCTACACCATTCCTGTTCCACCCCCTACCACTCCATATCCCTCCCTGGTCCCATTTGCACTCCCCCATGCCTTTGTGTCCACCAGCCCCTTTCACAGAATCCCTATAGTATGGAAGCAGGCCATTCAGCCCATCGAGCCCACACCAGCCCTCTGAAGAGCATCCCATTCAGACACACCCGCAACCCTATCCCTGTAACCATGCATTTCCCATGGCTAATCCACCTAGCCTGCACATCCCTGGGCATTATGGGCAATTTAGCATGGCCAATCCACCTAATCTGCACATCTTTGGATTGTGGGAGGAAACCCAGACAGACACAGAAATTCCAAGATGGCGGCAGAGTAGGACACTCCAGCCGGACCTCGTCCGCTGTTTTTTTTTCTTCTCTTTTCCTCTTTCCTTTTAGTGTTTTTTCTCTTCTTCTCCTCCTGTCTTGGCCTCCAACGACTGCTGGCCAGGCGTAGTGGCCTCCAGGCGTGGCAGTCTGAAGCGAACTCCCATCCTCACAATGCTGAAGGTGAAGTCCGAAGTCTGGGGTCTGGGCCTGGTGCGGACTGGACACTAGGTGCCAGTGTGGTCTGGGTTGGAAGACCATTGTTCCGAACTTTAATTTCTGCAACACTGGGCATTTTATTTCCCTGTTTTCTAAGATCTTGTAACTAGGTACCTCTGTACCCAAGATGGCGCTGCAAGTGGCAATGTATAAAAACTTTTCACTACCCTCATTGAGTACTTGTGACAATAAAGTTAATTCATTCACGCGCAGACCCTACACAGTCAGTCGCCTGAAGGTGGATTCAAACCCGAGTCCCTGGCGCTGGGAGGTAGCAGTACTAACCGCTGTGCCGCCCCATTCTCTCATTCCATCCCATTTCTTGCCCCTCAGTCCCATTTTCCTTCTACTCTGCCCACTTCCATACCTTTCACCATACCTTGGCTCTTTTCACCACATCCCATTTACCCCTTCCTCCCAACTGGCCCTGTTTGCCCACTTTGCCCCCAACTCGTCTTGCTGCCCCTCTGACCCTTCTACTCCTACTTGACCCCATGATCCAAACCCGGACCCAGCCTTCCGGTCCCAGTTTTGTCCCCCAACCTGTACTGCTCCATTTCTCCCACTCAGTTCCAACTCCCCTCAAGCACCCATCGGATATAAGTTTGGAAATCAGTGTGTGTCACCACGTTGCCCCCTCCTTCAGCAGGCAGCATGTTACAGACCAGTGCGGGGTAGTTCTTCCTCACGTTCGACACCCCCCTCTTCCCAAACCCCAAAACACCTCGAATCCCACCTACCACAGACACGAGGGTCATAACACGTCCGAGCAGGTCGATTTAAAAAAAGAGACAAAAACATGCACAACCATCCGTGGCAGGAGAAACTTTGGGCCACGTGTGCCGTGTCCATGGCGAGCCATGCGGTTTTAAAACAACGCTGCAAGAAGCTGCATGCATCTCCCCGGAGGTACATTCAGGGATATTGGGGGCCGGAATGGAACGTTGCCCAGGTTCTCCCGGGGAACGTTCCATTCCTGCGCCGCGTGCTCCCGGGGAACGTTCCTCTCCCTCCGCGCATGCCCGGCCTTCTCCGGAGCGCCGTTATCGAAGCCCGGGAGCAAGGCCACAAAAGTGCGGCCGCCACGTCGAAAGAGAACTAACGAACAGCCGATCTTAGCAGAGCAGAGGCGGCAGCTTACCACGTTTGACTGCTTCAGGAACTCCTTGGCGGCCTTGTCGAACTTGTTCTGCAGCAGGAAGCCGTAGATCTGCGGGTACAAGTCGCTGGGCACCACACGCGCGTCCATGTTGCGCACAATAACAGGTCCTCCCCTCCCCCCCGCTCTAGTACCTATCGCCAACTCCTCATTGACGTCCACTGCGGCTGCGCGGAGGGACGGTGCGGCACGTGACCTAGAGCCGGCCAGCGCGTCCTGAGCATGCGCAGCTGCGGCCCAGGCGGTGATGGCGTTGTAAGATCATTTAGACTCCAAACGTTAACTCTGCTTTCTCTCCAAGATGTTGCTCGATCTTCTGAGTTTCTCCAGCAGTTTCTGTTTTTTGCATTGTAGGGAATTCTGAAGAAGGGTCACTGGACTTGCAACGTCAACTTTGTTTTCTCTCTCCACAGATGCTGCTACTTTTCCTGAGCAGCAATTTCTTTCCGTCTTGCAGTGTAGGGAGTTCTGAAGGAGGGTCACTGGACTCAATTTGTTGGAACGTAGGACAGTACAGCATAGTACAGGCCCTTCGGCCCACGATGTAGTGCCGACCTATTATCCTACTAAGACCAAACTGCCCTGAATACCCTACATTTTACTATCCTCCATGTGCCTATCCAAAGTCACTTAAAAGTCTGTAAAGTATCTGACTCCAGTACCGCTGCGGGCAGCGCATTCCACATGCCCAATGTTAACTCTGCTTTCTGCCCACAGATGCTGCCAGACCAGATGAGTTTCTGTTTTTGTTTCATATCTTCAGCATTCACATTTCTTGTGTTTTATTTTAATTGCGTTGTAAGGCGTTTATGTTCACGGTGTAATCTGCATTGCATCACATGTACGGATCATTTTGACCCAACCTGTGTGTGCTAGTGCAGACAGACTCCATTTGAACCACTTTCCACTCTGCTGAAGCTCTCATCATACATTCCCCTACACTTTACCTCTAGATTCAACAACTCCAATGCAGTCCTGACCTGTTCACCTATAAAAAGGATGGTGATGGCTTAGTGATGTTGTCACTGGACTACTAATCCAGAAACCCAGGAAATGTTATGAGGAAACAAGCACAGAGGATGCTGGAGAAACTCAAGAGGTCTGGCAACATCAGTGGAGAGTAAGAGTTAACCCATCAATTCTGGTATGACCCTTCCTCAGAACTGAGGGTACAGATGTTTGTTTCAGTCTTCTAACATCCAACACAATCTGCTACCTTGAGGCTTGGCGTATCCACTGCTCGGCCATCACCATTACCATCAAGTTAGTGATCAACCCTGTTTCAATGAAAAATCCAGGAGAGCATTGCAAGAGCAACACCAGGCATACCTAAAAATGAGGTGTTAACCTGGTGAACCTACAAAACAAGGCTACTTGCATGCCAGATAGGAGAAGCAGGAATTATTTAAACTAAGTGATTCGACAACCAATGGATCTGATCTAATCTCTGCTAGATTGAACTCTTGCCAGATCTATTAATGAATGATGGCCAACAGTTAATGGAGGAAGAGGCTCCGTAAATATCCCCACCCGAAATGATGAGAGAGCTCAGCATAGCAGTACAAAGGATAAGGCTGAAACATTAACAATGATCTTCTGCCAGAAGTGCTGAGTGGGTGATTCATCTCAGCCTCCTCCTGAGGTCCCCAGCATCACGGATTTCAGCCTTTGATTCACTCCGTGTGATATCAATAAAGAGCTGAAGGCACTAGATGCTACAACGGCTATGCACCCTGACAACATTCCACCAATACTACTGAAAACTACCCAAGCAAGTGGAAAAAAAAGCAGAAAAAATGCTGGAAAAGTTCAGCAGATCTGGCAGTTCCTATGGAGAGAAATCAAAGTTATGTTTTGGGTCCAGGGACCCTTGCTCAGAACAATGTCCTGACCATGCTCAGAAGCACAAGGAAAAATGCCCAACTACGTCCTGTACACAAAAGCAAGACAACTCCCACCTGACCAATTACCGCTCTATCTGTCTTCTCTCAATCATCAGTAAAGTGTTGGAAGGTGCCATCAACAGTGCTATCAACAGGACTTGCTTTGCAATAACATGCTCACTGATGCTCAATTCGGGTTCCACCAGGGTCCACCTGTTGACCTCATTACAGCCTTGGTCCAAACATATACAAAAGTGCTGAATTACAGAGGCAAAGTAAAAGTGATTGCCTTTGACATCAAGACCGCATTTGACCAATTGTGTCATCAAGGAGTCCGAGCAAAATTGAAGCCAATGGGAATCAGGACAAAAACTCTTTGCTATTTGGAGTCAAACTTGGTACAAAGATAGATGGTGTGGTTGTTGAAGGTCAGACATCTCAGCTCCAAGATATCTTTGCAGGAGCTGCTCAGGTTGTTGGAGGTCAGACATCTCAGCTGCAAGCTGTCTTTGCAGGAGTTCCTCAGCTTGCTTCATCAATGACTTTCCCTTCATCATAGGGTCAGAAGTGGGGATTTCACTGATGATTGCACAATGTTCATTGCCATTTGTAAGTCATCTGATACTAAAGCAGTCCTTATCTAAATATAGCAAGATGCACAATATCTTGGTTTGGGCAGAAAAGTAGCAAATAACATTCGTACCACACAAGTGCCAGGTAGTGACCATCTCCAACAAGACAGAATAATTAGCCTTTGTCATTCAATGGCAGCACCATCCCTGGTTTCCCCCACTATCAACATCCTGAGGGTTACCATTGACCAGAAACGGTACTGGACTAGTCACATAAATATCGTGGCTGTAGGAGCAGACCAAAGGCTAGGAATCTTGTAGTGAGTAACTCATCTCTTGACTCTCCAAATCATGTCCACCATCTGCAAAGCACAAGTCAAGAGGAGTGTGAGGGAATACTCTCCACTTGTCTGGATGTGTGCAGCTCCAACAACACTCAAGAAGCTTGACACCATCAAAGACAAAGCAACCTGTTTGGCACCATATTCACAAACATTTTCTCTCGCCACCACCGACGCTCATTAGCAGCAGTGTGTACTATCTAGAAACTGTAGAAATTTGCCAAAGCTTCTCTGACAACATCTTCCAAACCCACAAACCCACAACCACCACGATCTGGAAGGACGGGCAGCAGATACATGGGTACACCTGCAATTTCCTCTCAAAACCTTTAACCATTCAGACTTTGAATTATGTTGCGATTTCTTCAATGTTGCTGGATCTCTGGAACATTCTGGGAGTTCTGGAACTCCCTCCCTTTTCGCATTGTAGGTAGACTGCAGTGATTTAAGAAAGCAGCTCACTACCACCTTATCCTAGCAACTAGGAATGGGCAAGAAATGCTGACGTAGCAATTAATATCAATAGCTTATGTGAACTATATACAATCTTGGATGATCTTGATAAAGTGTGCATGAAAAGAATGTGGGTCTTGTCGGTCAGTGCAGAGCAAGGGCACTATTTTAAAATTAGTGATTGCCTTTTACAGAGATGGGATTTTTTTTTCTGAGGGTTGTTTGGAACTCTCCTTCAAAAGGCAGTACATATAGTGAATTTCATATTTTTAAGTCAGAGGTAGATAGACTCATGTTAGGGAAGGGATTCAAATAATATTGGGGGTGGATGAGAATATGGAATTCAAAACACAAACTGATCAACAATGATCCAGGGGCCTTAACAGATATCTTTGCAGCATCCTTGAGCACAGGTGAGGTCCCGGAGGACTGGAGAATTGCTAACGTTGTCCCCTTGTTTAAGAAGGGTAACAAGGTTAATCCAGGTAATTATAGACCAGTGAGCCTGACGTCAGTGGTGGGGAAGCTGCTGGAGAAGATACTGTGGGATAGGATCTATTTACATTTGGAAGAAAATGGACTTAATAGTGATAGGCAGCATGGTTTTGTGCAGGGAAGGTCATGTATTACCAACTTGATAGAATTCTTTGAGGAAGTGACAAAGTTGATAGATGAGGGAAGGGCTGTGGATGTCATATACATGGACTTCAGTAAGGCGTTTGATAAGGTTCCCCATGGTGGGCTGATAGAAAAAGTGAAGTCGCATGGGCTCCAGGTGTACTAGCTAGATGGATAGAGAACTGGCTGGGCAACAGGAGACAAAGAGTTGTAGTGGAAGGGAGTTTCTCAAAATGGAGAACTGTGGCCAGTGGTGTTCCACAGGGATCTGTGTTGGGACCACTGTTGTTTGTGATATACATAAATGATCTGGAGGAAGGTATAGATGGTCTGATTAACAAGTTTGCAGATGACACGAAGATTGGTGGAGTAGCAGATAGTGAAGGGGACTGTCGGAGAATGCAGCAGAATATAGATAGATTGGAGAGTTGGGCAGAGAAATGGCAGATGGAGTTCAATCCAGGCAAATGCGAGGTGATGCATTTTGGAAGATCTAATTCAAGAGCGAACTATACGGTAAATGGAAAAGCCCTGGGGAAAATTGATGCACAGAGAGATCTGGGTGTTCATGTCCATTGTACCCTGAAGGTGGCAATGCAGTTCGATAGAGTGGTCAAGAAGGCATATGGCATGCTTTCATTCATCGGACAGGGTATTGAGTACAAGAGTTGGCAGGTCATGTTACAGTTGTATAGGACTTTGGTTTGACCACATTTGGAATACTGCGTACAGTTCTGGTCGCCACATTACCAAAAGGATGTGGATGCTTTGGAGAGGGTGCAGAGGAGGTTCACCAGGATGTTGCCTGGTATGGAGGGCGCTAGCTATGAAGAAAGGTTGATTAGATTAGGATTATTTACATTAGAAAGACAGAGTGGGACCTGATTGAGGTCTACAAAATCATGAGAGGTATAGACAGGGTGGATTGCAAGAAGCTTTTTCCCAGAGTGGGGGACTCAATTACCAGGGGTCACGATTTCAAGGTGAGAGAGGAAAAGTTTAAGGGAGATATGTGTGGAAAGTTCTGATCGCAGAGGGTGGTGGGTGCCTGGAACGCATTGTCAGCGGAGGTGGTAGAGGTAGGCACGATAGCGTCATTTAAGATGTATCTAGACAGATACATGAATGGGCAGGGAGCAGAGGGATACAGATCCTTGAAAAATAGGCGACAGGTTTAGATAGAGGATCTGGATCGGCGCAGGCTTGCAGGGCCGAAGGGACTGTTACTGTGCTGTATTTTTCTTTGTTCTTTGTTGTTCTTCAATCAGTTTTGATTCACGATAA